AATGGCGGGGGGCTTGGCCAGTCCGTTTTACCCAATCTGTAGTGGTGGGTCTTATTACATCGTATCTCATATGGTACAGACAAGTACATATGCGCGCGTGCGTGTGTTCGTGCATCCATTCATCTCTAGTGCACTCGGGGTGTCACGTCAGCACAGCCGGACCCACCCATTGCTACCATGGTCTGTCGACAAGTACAGTAACAACAACAAACACCACCACATACTGTTGCAGCCCTAACCTCCGAGAGAGCTTACAACGCCTTGATGTCACGCGAATACTGGCGTTTGAATCGGGGAGGGAATGAGACGTAGGGAGCAATTGAAATGTACACACATTTCATTGCAACTAATCATATACATTCCGTCGTACATCGGCTCTCTATACTTTATACCCCCCACCCACCCACACACTCCACGTCTCTCGTCTCCCATTTTTATTCTTCCTCGTTCCACTCCTGACCTGCGGGAATTATCTGTACACTTGTGTTCCACACAGAACGTGGCCCGGCCTTGGCGACTGACTACGCGCTAAAGTCAGCAACGAGGCGACGACAACAACAACACTACCACGTGAGAGGAGTAGGAAGCGATGAAGTAAGTGTGCGAAACAGGACGCGACAGACAGAACCGATAGTCATCTCGGGAGTTTCGGGAGAAAATTTATGCTTTCTAGGTCAAATGGCCCACTTTTGTGGGTGGGTGGTGGGTGTATATGTAAAAGTCTATTTGTGCTTCGTTTCGCTCCATTCTCTTGCGCTCTCTGTTTTTCACCCTCAGCTCCCCCTTGACAATCCTACAAACACTCGGTTCATTCAAGGTTCAATGTGAGAGAACTTTCAGCATTTTAGTGCTATGCACTTTCCGTTCATCAGTTGGTTGTGAGCACTCGGTGGTTTTCGGCGTGGATCATCTTCGTCTGCTCCGGTGGCCCGTTCGCCGAATCCACCTGTCTTGGAAACGGACGATTACAACATCAGTCTAGCAGTTCAGATCATATACTTGTCGCCTACCCCCGCCCGGAACATATGTTCGCACCTCACTTCCGCANCCTCATTTTCCCATTTTCTACGTAGTGCATGCCAGCCCTTTGGTTGGTCGCTCCCTCCTTATTGAAAATTGTGTGTATCACTAGATGTGTATACATTCACGAAAATTAAGAAGTAAAAGATAAAATATAACCTCTTGACTTCACTTCGATTTACATGGATACATCCGAAATGGAGATAGAAGAACCGAAGTGCTTTGATGGTTGTCGACTTCATGGATGGGACCTCAAACATGAGCGAAATTGTTCTGC